TAGTTGAGCATGAGATTAGGCACAATGAACATCCTTGAGCATCTCTTAAACCATGTGCCAACTTGGGTTACTTTTAGTTCTACCCTTGGCAAGTAGAACAACCTCCACGGAATAGGATAGACTCCGGATTCCATACCTTGCTAGTGTGGTCTATGTCGGTTAAGGCCTATTTCCATCATATGGGATTTGCACTCTAGTAGTGGATCAGTTCTACAACGTGTAGATAGTAGTATGGGATGCTATCTACACATGGCACGAGTAGGCTTAGAAGAAACTAAAGTGAGTTCCCTAAGCCTTAGGGCTATTGTGTGATTGTCCCCTATATGATTGTTTGTCTCCGAAATGGTTTTATAAAGAATGTTGACTTAGTATGTTTCAATGTAATGATAAAACCCTTGTCTATGGTAACTTTTAGGAACACTTCGGTGTACATAAAGAGGTTGTATGGGCGGTCACTTCATTATTCACCTTAAGTGTGCCTTAGGGTGATTTGAGATAGAGGCTTAAATGGTAATGAAGGACTTACTTTGCTATCTTGTTTAACTATGGTACACTTGTGTTAATTGAGTTGTAAATGATGTGAATATGGTCTTATTTGTGAATGGTGACTTCAAATGTGTGTTTATGCTTGCGGTCATAAAGGTTTGTTAAAGAAGGTCTTAAAAGCTTACATTTCTTGTAAATGTCCGTTGTGCATGTTTTCTTGCATGGTCATCATACTTAGTACTTATTGTACTAATTCCATATTTTCTCTATTGTTACAAGTGTAGGTGGTGGAAATCGAAGATATCTTTTGAGGAAGCTTGGGATATTCACTCTTCTCAAGAAGCTTGGTATGTTCTCATATATTCGAGGACATAGTTGTTACCTCTCTAGTATTTCCACTTAGACACTGTATAAGGCTTATATTTTGTTGTAAAGGGCCGTGCCCCTAAGATGTTTTATTCGTGTCTAAGATGGTACATGAGACTTCGAAATTCTGCTTCGTTACATTTGAAAGATTTTATGAGTATCCGGCACTAGTGGTTGCTATAGTTGTGGGAAAAATGATCACAAGGTGAGAGATTGTCCTAATATTGTGGCTAAAGGAAAGAATGCTAGGCAAGCTCCTTATAGTGGTCCTAGTGTTGATGGTCAAGCAAGGAATCGTTTCAATGCTCTCCAAGCTAACAAGGAAGCAAATCCGGATGAAGGTGCCGGTAAGTCATAATTTTTAGTTTTGTGTTGGAATCCGTTTGTGTTGGTTTAGATGGGTTTCTCCTAAGTGGGGGATGGTATGTTGAATGATGAGTTGAGGTGAGTTTGGATATTCTTGTCCCTTCCTTTTATTCCAAATCAAGATTGAGTCCTAGAATTGTAAAAGCATGATGCATGGTTTTTGGAGTCTTGTGTGAAAAATGAGTTTCTATATTTCTCTTTATAATGACGTATGCTTTAAATTGAGTTCTTGATTTAAATGAGAAAATGAGTTTCATGATTGTTGTTCTCCTTATATGCGTAAATTGGTGAGTTGCTAAAAGTTGTTGGAATGATTAGTTGAGCATGCTTAAGAGTGTTCTTGATAAATTGCATGATGTGTCTATTGCTTATTGGATTCCTTGATGTTGAAATGGGCTTGGTAATGTGGAGAAGGGAGTTCCTCCAATAATGAAAATGAAAGGAATGGTAATGTGAGGTGCATAAGGAGTTAGTGAATGTGCTTTTACTTTCTTGAATTGCATGATGCTTATACGAGGATTTAGATGTGAAGTTGTTTTCCTCCTTTGTTTGTGTATTGTTTATACGGTTAGAGGCTTGATGGTGGGCTGCTAGTCTTGAGTAATTACCCTTAATGTTTTAAAGTGTCATTCGAGGCCGAATGTTCCTAAGTGGGGGATATTGTAACATCCCTCAAAATTAATTAGGATGAACTCCAGCCAAGAGCTAGGGTTCTATAGTGTGTCGTATGTGAAATAGTTTCGTAGATGAGACTTTATGTGTTGTGAATGAGGAGTTTAATGGTAGGGCATCAAAGTGTGCATTAGACCTAGTAGCCTAGGTGACCTATATGTGTTTGGTGGTGCATGGGAAGAGCAGCCACCAAGGCAAAAGGGCAAGCCTAAGCCGAAGGGCCAAGGCTGCCCAAGCTTGGCAGCCGCGGCCTAAGAGTTCACGACCACCTTCACGACCAGTGGTGTGCACCTCGGTCCGTGAAGGGGTCCTTGAAGATGACTTAGACACTTGGGAGGCCATGCCAAGAGGCCAAGACACTGCCCCAGGTTCACGAGGCACTTCACGAGCCGTTTACTTGACCTCGGCCCAACAAAGTACCCGTGAAGGTGCCTTAGCAAATTAGGGTGGTTGAGGGCCAAAAAGGGTTGAAGGAGCTACTGGTCCATGGACCACGGGCACCACCACGGACCGTGGTGCCCTTCACGACCCGTCCAAGTGGGCGAGGTCCCTGGCGGGGCTGCCCAAGCGAGGGGTTTTTAAGTAATTTCATTTTTAATTGTTTATTATGTGGGGTTGATTTTTAAAATGGGTTTTATATGATAAATATATAAGATTTTAAGTCTTTTAACACGTCATTTACTCTCTTTTCCCAATTCAAATCCCAAAGTGTTGCTCTCTCTACATTTCTCTCAAGCTCAAGGAAGAAGAAGAAGTGGAAGCTAGGGTTTTAGATTTCGAGCTTTCTTCATCAAATTTTCGTGGGATTCATCAAGTCTAAGGTATGGTGACCCTTGATCCTTGATTGTCCTTTCTTTCAAGGAGTCCATTCAAAAGGGTTTCAAAAGTCTTCAAAGAACAAAAAGCCTAATTTATATTCTAAGCATGGCTTCATTGATAAATTGTTTACAAAAGCACTACAATGGTGAATTAAAGTATAACTGATGATTTTAGATGAACTTTCTTCATGAATCCATGTTTTCGCTAAAACCATAAATTTGCTATGAAGTGGGTCTATTTCTATAAATTCAAAGTTGATGGAAATATGTGTAAAGTGAATTGTATTGATATCTCTTGTGTTTTTTAATGTTTATTCATGATTAATTGTTGATAATGGGTGAATTAAGGGTGGTAAGCCTTATGGGTGAAGTATTGATGATTGCTTGGATTTTTGGTGATTTTGGCTATGGCTTTGGATTATGGTAAGAAAGCTTGAACTCTCTTTATTGAATTGATTGTTGTTGGTAGGTTGAATCCACCTTTGGTGGAAGTGTTATATCTTATTCTTGTGTGGTATTATTGTGAATTGAGGCCATGAAGGGGCATTATATGAGTGTTATTATATTGTTGTATTTTTATACATATACGAGTGTAAAGTCCTATATGAAGCTATATGTAAAGTTTGTGTGAAGCTATATAATGTGAAGAGGTTCCTAATGGTATTAAAGTGATATTGTATAGAGTGTTATTTTGCTAATTTGAAAAGCATGTTTCTCTAGAAATGGTGATATGTGGTGATGATGGACTATGATGAGTCTTTATAAGATGATGTTATAGTTCATATGCTAGACTTGAGTATTTTGTCTTGTGTCATGAAAGCTTGATTATATATATGAATGTTTGGTTGGGTCTATGACTTAGTAATGGGGCTCTTCCTATAATTGCTAAAAGAGGAATTCTAGGCCAAATTGAATTGGTAGACTTAAGCATAGTGCCTTTTCATGAGTCTAGCTTTCCTAAGTAAATGTATAACCTTGAAGGGATGGGCCTTAGGGTGATGTTCCCTTCTTGTGTGAAATGATAGACTTAGAGATGGATGGAGCCGGAACGGCATGAGAATCCTTATCTAAGAAAGTCAATTGAGCTATCCTTATGAACCTAGATTGGCTATGACTAAGAAATGGGACATTTCTTGGGAAGAGGTACTGTGAGTTGGTTGAACTAGAAAATGAACCCTCTCTAGTACATATGGGATTGAATACTCTATGGAAACCAAGGCTAAGCACCGAGTGGATGTGGTTAGGGTGGTGGCCTAGTTGAGCATGAGATTAGGCACAATGAGCATCCTTGGACATCTCTTAAACCATGTACCAACATGGGTTGATTTTAGTTCTACCCTTGGGAAGTAGAACAACCTCCACGGAGTAGGATAGACTCTGGATTCCATACCTTGCTAGTGTGGTCTATGTCGGTTAAGGCCTATTTCCATCATATGGGATTTGCACTCTAGTATTGGATCAGTTCTACAACGTGTAGATAGTAGTATGGGATGCTATCTACACATGGCACGAGTAGGCTTAGAAGATACTAAAGTGAGTTCCTTAAGCCTTAGGGCTATTGTGTGATTGTCCCCTCTATAATTGTGTGATTCCGAAATGGTTTTATAAAGAATGTTGACTTAGTATGTTTCAATGTAATGATAAAACCCTTGTCTATGGTAACTCTTAGGAACACTTCGGTGTATATGAAGAGGTTGTATAGGCGGTCAGTTCATTATTCACTTTAGTGTGGCTTAGGGTGACTTGAGATAGAGGCTTAAATGGTAATGAAGGACTTTCTTTGCTATCTTGTTTAAGTATGGTACACTTGTTTTAATTGAGTTGTAAATGATGTGAATATGGTCTTATTTGTGAATGGTGACTTGAAATGTGGGTTTATGCTTGCGGTCATAAAGGTTTGTTAAAGAAGGTCTGAAAAGCATACATTTCTTGTGAATGTCCGTTGTGCATGTTTTCTTGCATGGTCATCATACTTAGTACTTATTGTACTAATTCCATATTTTCTCTATTGTTACAAATGTAGGTGGTGGAAATTGAAGAGATCTTTTGAGGAAGCTTGGGATATTGAGTCTTTCCAATTCACACTTTGGCTGCTATATCTCCTCCTAAAACCACCATCAAATATCTGGAGGGCATAACTGCTGATTTTTTTCTGGGGAATGGATAAAGAAAGGAAAAAGTATCATTAGGCTTCATGGGAAACTCTCAGCTATCCTACTGATGAGGGTGGTATAGGGGTGAGACTTCTCACTGATATTTGTACCTCCTTTCAATATAAACAGTGGTGGACCTTCAGAACAAAAAATTCTCTTTGGGGACAATTTTTAAAAGCCAAGTATTGTCAAAGAGCCAATCCAGTGGCCAAGAAATGGGACACTGGACAATCCTTGGTTTGGAAGTATCTTGAAAAAGACAGGTTGTGGAGCCTCACATTACTTGGAAAATTCATTCAGGCAACTGTCATTTTTGGTGGGATAACTGGCTTGGGGATGGACCTTTGGCTGAGTACAGTGACAACATTTCTAGCTTAAACAATCTCCAAGTATCACATTTTATTGAAGAAGGACAATGGAAAGAAAGTTTAGTGAGACAGCATGCCCCTCCTCTCATGGTCCCTATCATCCTTAATACTCCAATTCAACATCATGAGGATCTACCTGATGAAGCAGTCTGGACTCCTGCAGACAATGGTCATTTCTCTATTTCATCTGCATGGGAAATTATCTGGAAAAAACATTCTAAGGACCTGATCAATACTTTCATATGGCATAAAAATTTCCCTTTCAAAGTTTCTTTCTTTATTTGGAGAGCTTTGAGAGGAAAGTTGCCTACTAATGAGAAGTTAATCATCTTTGGAATTGAGCCAGCCAACTGTTATTGCTGTCACAGACCGGGGAGGGATGAAATTGACCACATTCTTGTCTCTGGAAATTTTGCAAATCACATCTGGAAGGTTCATGCAGCATTGATGGGAATTGATCACTCTTCCATGACTTTGAGAAGTTTGTTGATGAACTGGAGAAGTATTCAGCACAGCAATGAGATTCACAAACTTCTAAATCAGGCCCTCCCTATTTTCATTTGCTGGAATCTGTGGAAAAACAGATGCTCTAGAAAACATAGAGGCAAGCAATCCAGTATTGGCAGAGTCAAGCACCTCATATTCAAGGACATGATGCAATTACTTACCATTGTGTTTCCCTACCTGCAATGGCCCAGTAATTGGAAGGAAGTGATCAGCATGATTGAAAAATGCAGGCATGAACTGAAAGTAATTGCAGTTTGTTGGGAAAAACCTACAGTTGGAGTGTACAAGTTGAATACAGATAGTAGTACCCTTAATAATCCAGGTAAAATTGGGGGAGGAGGAATTCTAAGGGATGATCAAGGCAATATGGTCTATGCATATGCTATTCCTGTTGGTTTTGGTACCAACAACAAAGCAGAGATACAGGCAGCTATCCATGGAGTAACTTGGTGCATGCAACATGGATACAGGAAGATTATTCTAGAAGTGGATTCTGAGCTCCTTAGCAATGGCTCAACCACAACAGCTCACCACCTTGGCAGATTCAATAGCACATGCAGGAACTCAAAAATATCAGCAATCAGCTTGAGTACTTCCAATGCAAACATACCTTCAGGGAAGCTAATTGCACAGCTGACCATTTATCTAAATGGAGCCATAGGCAAGATATCATTCAACATTTTTACACTCATCATCAATTACCTGGGGCATCTAAAGGAAGTTATATTTTGGAAAAAATGGGTATGCAAAATTTCAGAAGGAAGAAACTCAGAAGAATTAAGCAACCACCTTGAGGCTGTGTGCAACCTTTTCAACCTAGCTATGGTTTAAAATTATAGCTCTTTTGAATAGGACTAGGTGTTTTCTCTTTTCTTGCTGTTTGAAAAGAGATAGTCTCCCTTATTTATGATTCCTAGTTTCTTTGTATCGAGATGAGTCCTCTTCTTTTTTTTTTTATGACAAGGAAAATCCGCAGCCACTACCCTTTGGGTGTACATAGGGTAAAAACCCTGCTTCTATGCAATAGCTCGCAAACCACATAAGGGAGGTAACCCACACTAGGCAAGCCCGGTGCGACGAGCTCGACCCAGAAGGCAAACCCATTACTTTCGCTGGCAAGGGGTTTCGAACTTGAGACCTCCAACATGGAAGTCCCAAGCCCAAACCACTGGGCCACCCCGAAGGGTAGAGGAGTCCTCTCTTTTAGGTGCTTAGGTTCTAGGTTTTTCCTTTTTTTAGTATGAGGATGAGTGGACTATCCTTAGTAGGAAGGTCGACTGATGAACCAAAATAGGATCGGAGGTAAGGTTTATGTCCCCCTATATTATTTTTTAAAAAAAGAAAAAAAAACCTTATGGCATAAACCCTAAAAACTAAACTCTAAACCTTAGGATCTAGACCCTAAAATCGAAACCCTCAATCCTAAACTCTAAATCTTAGGTACTAAATCATAAACTCTAAACCCTAAACCCTAAAGCTTAGGTCCTAAACCTAAACCCCAAAACATTAGGGCCTAAACCCTAAAACCTAAGCCCTAACCTTAGTGCCTAAACCTAAGGGCCTAAACTCTAATTAAGCTTCTTCTTGATCATTCACAGGTAGCATATCTTTATCCAATTCATCTTCATAGTGAACCACTTTGTACTCTTCTAGAGGATCATGGGCATTATCAGTAGTCTCGGGGATTGTGTTGATGGTGCATTTTTCCTTTGAACTAGCTGTTCTTCTTCATTTTTTCCGAGCTAAATATTGCTGGTTTTCCTTTTTTTTTTCCTTCCTCGAGAGCTAATTTTTCCTACTTCTTCTATTAGCTTCTCTTTCCTTCTGACTCATCTGCTCTGAAGCTTTATTTTTTAGCCCTTGTTTTTCAATAGTGTTTCTATATGAGTCCCTTCACCCACCCCATTAGACTGATGTAAAACAACATTAGAGTTCTCTTTATTTTGTTGACCTTCCTACGTAATATTCTGTTGCTGCTGCACCTGAATCATTGTCTGAGTTGCTGCCTGAAAATAACCCCTTGAATCAGCTTCTTTATACACAGGATTCCCTTTTTCTTGTTGAACTAGATCATTAACCTCAACCCTGCCTGAGTTCACCTCACCCTCATCATCATTGTGACCCAATTCAGGCCCCTCCATAGACTCATAATCTAGAGAATCTTCAACAACAGGGTATATATCTTCAATCAAAACTGGACTCAGATTCTGAGTGTCATTTTGTGTTGTCATGTAGATCTTGTTGTTGATGTTACCTTGTATCATAGGAGCTCTAAGGTCAATCCTAGGGTCATCCATATTAGAACTAGTGAACTACCACCCCTTTTTGGTTCCCTTCCTACAAATTAGTGATTTTCTCCTGCATACCCCCTTTCACACCTCCAGACTTCTCAGATGACAGATCCAGGTAAACTAACACAATTATTAATAGGGTGGGCTTGATGGAGCATTGAGTTAATACCTTGCTTATTGTTGGCATCCTTGCTTTGCTTGTTATGAAATACTTTAGGGGCAACACTGGGAATGGGGACAACAACACTACCATGGGGTTGAGGGGTGGGGAGCATTTAGTCAATACCTTGCTTATTGTTGGCATCCTTGCTTTGATGTCCTGATAAACTTTAAGGGCAACACTGGGGGTGGGGACTGCAACACTACCATGGGGTTGAGGGGAGGGAAGCATTGAGTCAATACCTTTTTGTGGTTCCTTACTGGTCTGATTCTGATGTGGTACTGGTTTATAAACCTGATTTTGTTGGTTGTTTTGGTCATTCCTCTGATTGTTTTGAGGATAGCCTCTAATGTTCTTTTTCTTTTGTGTCTGCCATTGCTCTTCTTGCATTTTTTGTTGATTCTGATGAGTTCTTGATGGTTGTTCTTGGTACCTGAAACACTAGCAGAAATATTATTCTTAACAGGCTGATAATTATTTGGTAGAGTAGTTACATGAGTGTCATTTCCTTGTGTTGTTTTGGTTTTGTTCTTGTTCACTGCTTCCACTACCTTTCTTCTTCGATATTCATCATCTCTCCTCTTGACATTGCATGTATGAACCTTGTGGCCTTGATGTTTGCAGTATATCAATATCTTTACTTGTTGGAACCTGTGGAAAAATAGATGTGCATGCAAATATGGAGGCAACAAATATAATATGACTAGAGTGATATACTTGGTGCTTAAAGACATCAACAACCTCCTACTCATCAAGTCTCCTTACATAAAATGGCCATCCAAGTGGCCTGAGTTGATACAGTTTGCAGGAAATTGCTTCCATGATATCAAAATTACAAAGGTAAGTTGGTTTAAGCCACCTACAAATGTGGTTAAAATCAACTCTGATGGTAGTGCATTAGACAACCCAGGAAAGATAGGGGCTGGTGGTATTGTTAGAGATGCCTAAGGTGATTTAATCTATGCTTATGCTGCTCCACTAGGCCATGGTACCAACAACCAAGCAGAGATTGAAGCTACTCAATGGGGTCTATCTTGGTGTCTAAATAATGGTTTTAACCAGGTGATTTTGGAAGTAGACTCTGAGTTAGTGGTTCACTGGATAAAACAAGAAGTTGCTCCACCTTGGAATTTGCAGCATACTACTAACCTTAAGAGAACATGTGATCAATTCCAATCCTTTTCCTGTAATCACACCTTTAGAGAGACTAACTTATGGCTGATGTTTTATCTAAAACTAGCCATAACAGTGAAGTCCCTCAACATTACTTCCATGTCCACCAGCTACCAAAGAAGCTAGAGGATACTATATGCTGGACAAGAGTGAGATGCCAAATTTTAGAAGAAGAAAGATGAAGATCAGAGAACCACCTTGATCCGACAGCTTTCCATATGGTTCATCTGAAGATGCCCTTTTGTTTTTTGTTGTTTGTTTTTTCTTCTTACTTTGTAAAGGGATAGTCTCCCTCATTTATTGCTTTCCTATATTACTTGTATTGAGAAGAGTCATCTCTTCTAGGTGCACAGTTGATCTAGGTTTCTTTTCTAGTATCAGGGATGAGTTGGTCGTCCTTGGTAGGATATCCTACATATGAACCACCGTAGGATCGGAGGTAAGGTTCATGTCCCCTCATTGTATTTCCCTTGTTTTTGTTTTATTAATGATAAGGCTTGGGGGTGTTGCTAAGCCCCTGACCCACCTCAAGGGTCATTAAAATAAAACCTTAAGTGATAAACCCTAAACCTTTGGGCATAACCTTAAACCCAAATTTCTAGACCTTAAACCTTTGGGCATAACCTTAAACCCAAATTTCTAGACCTTAAACCTTAGGGCCTAAACCGTAGACCCTAAACCTTTGGACCTAACCGTAAACCCTAAACCTTAGGACCTAAAACTTAAACCTTAGGGCTAAATCCTAAACCCTATATAAATCCTATAACATATACCAAAAACAAAAAACCCTAAGCCTTAGGGCCTAAACCCTAAAGCCTAAACCTTAGGACCTAAACCTTTAACCTTATGCCATAAAAATTCTAAACCATAAATCATAAAACATAAACTCCAAATCTAAGGGCCTAAACTCTAAAACCTAAATCATAAACCATAAATCATAAACCCTAAATCATAAATCTTAGGACCGAAATCATAAATTTATAAACCCTAAATCTTAAGACCTAATCCCTAAATCCTAACCCCTAAATTTAGGGCCTAAATCCTAAACCCTAAAACTTAGGGCCTAAACCTTATACCTTGGGGCCTAAACCGTAAACCCTACACCCAACCCTAAATTCTATACTCTAAACCTGAAACCTTAGGACCTAAAATATAAGTCCTAAACTCTAAGTCTTAGGGCCTAAACCAAGAAACCTAAACCATAAAGCCAAAACCCACCTTTGTGCCTAAACGTTGAACACTAAACATTAGGCCTAAACCCTAAATCATTTTTTCAAGAATGAATGAGTAAACCCTAAATCATAAACAATTAACTCTAAGCTTTAGTGCCTCAATCCTAAACCTTAGAGTCTAAAACCTAAACCATAAACCATGAACTCTAAGCCTTAGTGCCTAAACCCTAAACCTTAGGACCTTAACTCTAAAACCTAACCCCTAAATCATAAACCATAAACCCTAAACCTTCAACCTAAATTTTAGGGCCTAAACCATAAATCATAAACCCTAAAACCTAAACATTAGGGCCAAAATCCTAAACCCTAAGTCTTAAGGTCCTTAAATCCTAAACCCTAAACCTTACACTTTGGGGACTAAACCCTACACCATAGGGACTAAAACCCAAACTTTAGGACCTTAACCTTAAACACTAAACCTTAATGCCAAAACCCTAAAACATAAACCATAAATCCTAAACTTTAGGGTTTAAACCCTAAACAGAGCAATTGGGACATGATTTGAAACCACTATCTGTAGAGTAGACTGCTTTAGATTACTGAATTGGTTATTGCATTCTGTGGATCTATTCCAGAGAAATTAGTATGGTCTTATCCTTTAAATCAAGTGTATGTTCCACATCAAGCTGCAAATCAATAGTTCCATGCCCTCCATACAATCTGAAAATTCTCCCATAGCTGAAGTTATCGTAATATAGTCCTTTTTTTATATGGGAATCAACATATATTAAATGAACCACCGATAGGCCATGGCCCCTCCAACAGACTTCTAACATCAACTAATTCCTCTCATATCAGTCTCATTTCCAATTTTCTGTTAGAAGCATACACAGCAGTGATATGACATTCAAAATCATTTAATTGGGCCTAAATCGAAACCATATACCTTGGGACCTAAACCCTAAACCCTTCATAAACCCCAAACCATAAACCTTAGGGCATTAAAACCTAAACCTATGGGCCTAACCTTAAATC